ATTTGATTTAACAAACATTTTAAAATTAGAATGATTAAGCCGGTGAGTTTGTCTGTCGTAACTCGTAAGGCAAATCCCAAGAAGCCCAAGAAAGAAGGGTGGTAAGAAGTCAAAGAAACCCATGAAAAAGGCCTCTGTGATGAAGGTCAAGTGGGCCACTGCAAAGGCATAGAAATCAGCAGGTCCACAGATTACAGCAACCGTCAACTTAAACGACTTGGAACTGCTGGAACTCCCAGAATCGGACGATGCGAAGTAAGCACGGAGGCAGTGTTTATGTCTGTCAGATGTTTCAAAATTTCAAATGTATGCCAAATTTTAATTTGCTTATCATTGCTTGTAAATTTCGTATGGAAAATTATTTGTGGCATTGAAGCAGGAAGAATTTCTTGATAGAATTTATTTGTATTTTGCATTTTTTGTCATAAAATTCTGGCTATGGCCCCACAGTACGTTGTCACTTTCGTTAGACCCAAGACCGGCTCCAGTAGTCTGCACAATTACGTGTATTCGGCCAGGCATCGGATTGCAGGATGACCAGGCCAACAAACAAAACTGTGCCACGCCCCTGCTTTGTCACGGTTTCACTGGCCTTGTGGACATATCGACATCGACATGGCCCTCTCCTGTCCTGTCCTTGCTGCCCCCTGGTGGGCCCTAATTAGCATTAGCTTGTTGTCAAGACCGTGGACCGTCCTTTATATTTCCATAAAACTGCATTACGTATACGGTGCGGAGCGTTGGCAGACGGTGGCTTGCATGTCATGCAATTTTAATCACCCTTTAATTATTTAATCCATTCCGTTATCACTTTGAGGGGGAGAAGAACAATACTCGTGTTAATTAATCCTTGGCTTTATTTTTAAATTGTTCGGGGTATATGCATGTAAGTACTTATGTGTTCGGTCATCTATAATGCATTCTGTTTTAAATGCAGCTCGGGTTACAGCAAAAATGGAAATGAGGAAATGTGTAATAAATGCAAATAAAATTAAAGAAGGATTTAAATTAAAGGGGAAACGTGTAGCATCGCTGACGGTTCAATTTTCCATTCTGCACAAGTTTTCCTCTATCCCCAAATCCCAATGACAACAAAAATCTCAGCGATTTGCGTTTAATTTGTGTTTGTGTGCAATGCATTTTTAATAATGTGCCTTTTTGATTTTCTTTTGAATATTTTATGTCTCACTCCCTTTTGGAATTTAAAAATTTTAATTAAAATTACTCGTCTAATAAGAGCAGAGCTTGCCACAAAAACATCGTACGAATTGCGGTTGACTATGTGGAATTTTGTAGGCGTTTGTAGGCAACTGTGGGCGTGGGCGGTGGCGTATGTATCGATTTGTTATTGTGATGATGCTATCAATTTGCATGTTGGGCTTCGATGGAAAATTGATGAGAGCTTTTCTATGAGAAGCTCATGTAAAAGGAAAGAGGAACTCAGCATCTTCAAATAATAATTTTAAATCTAAAATTAGATATTTGTCTTGAGTGTAGACATTGACTTGTTTTACGTATGTATGATACGGCAACCCCATATTCTCTGATAATACTGAAATCAAATAAACTTCGAACTTTGTTCTTCACTGAGCTAATTCATATACATTTGCGTATTTATTAAAGGGCTCAACTTGTAAAAATAAATCGTAGGCTCTCGAGTTTAGATTCTAGTTGAGTAGTTCCTTGGTTTTAGCATTGCTTTTAAATATGTCCGTTCTCAAGCAAACTATTAGTTTTTCAATTTCATTTTTTGTTCCTTTCATTTATAATCCCTGCAGTTTCCTCTTGTTTTGAGCAGACTACAGCTGGCTTAAGAGTAACCGCAACAAAGCAAGCTGTGGAAAAGCGGCTTAGAAAACATACGTATTTTAAGAGCGAACTTTTACTGGTCGTCAAACTGCAACAGTACTTGTATTCGAAGAAAGTTTTCCTGCACTTTTGTGATTTAAAAATATTTAATTATAGGTTCAACAAGTACCTACCCTTTTATACTTATACTTTTAATCCCCACACAGTTGCTGTTGTTACGGTGCACTCTCTGCAGAGCCGGGACACATCTGGCTTGCGTGGCTTTAATGACAGAACGCTGTCGACAAATTAAATCAGCTTCAATGCTAAATGCCGGCCACCTGGGTGTTGGTAATTGAAGTGAATTTTCGAAGAAAAACAAGCGAAAAGAGCGGAAAGAGTATGAGAAGAGAGTCAAAGAAAGGTAAGCTTGTCCCGAAGCCTTGGCCATGGTCTTTGGTCTTTTTGTCGCCTTTGTTTGTCGCCTCCGGAGTCGAGCAAATTGAATAGCGCTTTATTAAGTATTCATTATCGTCAAGTTTGCTTGTGTGTGGGTTCTGTTCTCGTAAGGATATTACTCGTGTACGCATTCTGTTGCGGTGTGCCAATAGAAGAACTTGACAGGAAGCAAGCGGAAATTGTAGAACCATCTGTGGCCCGAGGGCTGCCTCAACGGTGCTGTGAAAACATTGATTGCCATCGGCACAATAATGTTTATGTAATTAATTTTAATGATTTTACTTTTGCCTTTGTTTCCGCTCCACTCTCCAAAAGTGTCCCCAAACACAGAAAAGTTTCCTTTTATTGTTCGGCTATTGTCTTTATGCAGCGATTGTTCCCTTGAATTAAATTCTATATTGTCCAGTTGATAGAAGTTTTCCCAACAAAATCAATAAGGAATGGGAATAAAATATTTAGGAAACAAACCAATAAGTAATTCAACGGGGAAGTTTTTAGTATTTTCGTCTTGGGAGGTGGCGACTCTCTGGCTCTGGGTGAACGATGGTGAGTTGAAAAATGTGTTTGTTAATTGATGTGGCTGAAACAAATGGCCAAAGCAAGCCACACAGTGGGCCTCCATATGACTTCTTCCTAAAGAATCCTCGTCCTACGTGGCCCAACAGGAAGACTCCACACGGATGCAAGCACATGCATATTTTTACCTGAGAATGCGCATTCCTGTCGAAAGCCGCAATATCCGGTTTTACATTACGACTGCTCGTGATATGAGAGGAATTTAAGTTGGCTGCAATTAGGTGGCGGCAGTTGGTTGGAGAGTGTGCCGCTGGCTCAACAGGGAGACAACTACGACGACAACTCAACGGGGAATGTTCTTTTTAATGAGTGGCGATGTCGACTAAATTTAGCCCACAGATAGACAAACACAAGGACAGGCGGCTGATTAGGGTGTCAGGGTATTTAATGAATTTTGCACAGAGAGTAATTAGGCAACGACAGAATGTGTCACAGACGAGAGGGAGGGCACTCGAAATGGGATAGGATGACAGTTCAATGGACCCGACACGTGCTGGCCCTTATGTAAATGAAGGTGCCACATTGAATCCCAGACCCATCCGGGTTGACATCATCATTTAATGGAATGTTATCAAGTCAGCGCCAAAACTCCGTCTCTTCGATGCTTTTATTTGATGTTTATATTATATCCACAGACGTGGAGAGTGTTTTAAATATTAGAAAAAACACTCAATATATGCATGACATGAAAACATTTAACGCAATGAAATTTAATGAACCCAAAATGGCGCAGTTACAAGTACAATAATGCCCGAGCGCAGGGCCAGGAAGTATGCTGAGGAGGAGCTCGGCCTGTCAAAGGCGCCTCGAAAGTGAACTGATGTATTTTTAATTGCTGCATACATTAAAATAGATTTACATGACAAGAGGCAAGCAGGCCAAAAAACAGAGAAAAGTCCTCGCAGAGTAGCAGAGGCAGACTCGCACACACGTATCCCTTCACTGCTCCCAAAAAAAAGGATTCCCCGAGTCAGTGCTTTGGGTCTGAGTCTAACCTGGACAACTCACATGCAAATATTTACTGTCGCCGGCGAGGGAAGCAGAAAGCAGAAAAAGCTGAAAAAGGCTGCCTACGTAGGCTGACTTGACAGAGTTCAGCTTTAGATGAACCTATGCAAATCTGGCTGGAATGCTCTTATTATTGAGCTTGCTCCTCGTCACGGACATTAACCCTAAGAAATGTGCACAAGTCTGTGGGTTAAGTGAGGTCTTAGAACTCAAGCTTTGCGCTTTTTCGAATATTTAACATGGTGTAATGAGCTTTGAATATATTTATTATACTCGTACTCGAAGGGTTAAGGGGTATATTAGATTTATGAAACGTTTCCGAACCCATAAAGTATATATATTCTTAATCAGCATCAATAGCCGAGTCCATATAGCCATGTCAGTCCGTCCGTCTGTCCGTCTTGATGAGCGCCTAGTTCTCAGACACTATAAAAGCTAGAGCAACCAAATTTTGTTTCCAGTCTCAAGTGATATCACCTTTGTTTCAAAATTATGCCACGCCCCCTTCCGCCATCACAAAAAACGAAAATCTGTGGCATCCCCAATTTCGACGATACGAGTGTGACCACATCTACCAGATTGCCGAATCTGTATCAGATCGAATAATTTTTATAGCCAGAATGAAGAAATTCATTCTTAGTTGCTTCCCCCACCTCCTCCGGCCATGCTTCGCTACTTATTCTTTTTCTCGCTCTCACACACTCTGCCCTATGCACTGCGCGACCTTTCGCAGAGAAGATGTAGAATCTACATTGTAGATATAAAATCTACATTTTAAATGTGTAATCGACATTGTAGATGTAGATAACAGATGTAGCAAAATAATGTAACCTATTTTAAATTCTATTTAAAAAAAAATCATTAGCTCACAAATTTATATACTGACTGAGTACGGGTATAAAAGTAGAGTCGCGTCCACAGAAGCGACTCACACGTTCCTTCTCTGACTTTTTTTGGAATCTTGCTCATACATTATTTGGCAGTATTTAAGAGTCATCTTGACAAATGCAGATTGCAAACATATTTTGTCTGCCAGTAAAATGTTAATTCGGGCAAGAAGCTTACAACGTGATTCTGGAACTTGGAGTCAAAAAGCTTGATGATAATTATATGAAAAATTTTGTTATATCGTCAATATATCAAAATTTAACTTTAAGACTATTGCGGAAAAAGGTTCAGTATTTATTATAATATTTTCTATTGCAAAGTGTTGAGATTATATATGAAAAGTACTTTCGATCACAGAAACAATGTCCTCGGCAGCGTTACACAGCAGATCGTAGGAGAATATGTACACGGAGTCCCGAAAGTGTTTCATTTTCTTTAGCCTCCACGGTTCCCTTAGGAAGATTTTGTCTGCCTGCTTGCTGAGAACCGAGCTGGTTATATTCTCGAAGGTCAGCTCATTCTCTTGTTCTTTGGTGTCGGTGTGGTCCTGCAAGCGCTGCTGCGTTGCCTTGAGAAGCTGCTTCTCCAGCTGCCAGACCTTCTCCTCCCACTCCTCGATGCGGCTGGCGATGACGCCGCGCACATAGATGAGCTTTGTGTTACTGCGTTCCTGCGGTCTGGACAAGGTGTGGCCATTGCCGCGCAGTCGCGCCAAGATTTTCGTGAGTTCCCCGAATAGGACGAGGCGCTTCTGAAAGTCCTTGTGGTCACACACCAGATCGATGAGCATGCGAACGCTGTAGTCCCACCTCGGATAGCAGCGGAAGGGCTTGTTCACCCTGAAGAACTCCTTGAGCTGCTCGGCGTCAGAATGGGTGGAGCAGTGGAAGATTTTGTTTCGTCGGTTGAAGGCCTCACGGTCCTCGAGCTGGCGATCATAGGGACACAAGAGATTTTGCGGCTGTTGGTCCAGGGGTAGGGCCATATGCAGCAGACACGATGCAGAGGTTCGTCTCGATATCGCTATCTGATCCTCCAGCCGATCGAGATACTCCTTAAAAGGGGAACAGCGTCCGTGCAAGTTCAGGGTTAGGGCACAGGGACGGAAAAAGAAGAAACGCGGACGCATGGCCAGCAGCCATCGCTGCTTTACAATCGCCACCATTCGGGGCTTGAACATGACGGACACATCGCGAATGTCTCCGGGCCTGAGCACGAAGGCGTTGTCGTCGAAGACGAACTCGTTGTCCCTCGCATCGAACAGCGTGTCATTGTAGGCAAAGGAACATACGCGCATCCAGGTAAACCTGATGACCTCTGTGCCGCTGTTCTCGATTCGCATGACGGTGCGCAGGTGGTGCTGGTAGGGATGGCAGCAGAAGTTGCGTTCCAGGATGGGCGAGAACTCCGGAACGTGCGGCTTATAGTGCATCCCATTGATGAGGACACACACGCCCGTGCAGCCATGCTGACACTTGCACCCTGGATTTCCTTTCGTCAAAACAGTAGTCTCGGCGAGATTCGGATCCGACTTGGAGATCACTGAGGAGCTGGTTATGGAGCCCAGGGACTCATAGTCACCTCGGGGAGTGCCCAAGCGCCGCTTACGGACAATTTCCAAGTTCTTGATGCTCGGATAGAACTCCAGCACTCGCTGTATATTGGGAAACTCCTCTTCTATGCGATCACCCAGCAGCTTCGAATTGATCCACTTGCTTCTGGGGAAGTTCTTCGATTCGTCTGTGCCCAGGAGCTCGTCAGCTAATTGCCCCGGAATGCCCACTATCTCCACAAAGTCTCTCTGGGGCCACGTCTCCGGAACAGGATCCGCACATGGATGGGGCGCAGCCAGGGTTGCCTCTTTCTGAGTGAGATCCTTGGACCGCGCCCGGTCTATTATCCGATTGATCGTCTCCCTATCTCGATGGTCAATGCAGGTGGGATGATTGAAGAGCATCTGCTCTGGCTCCTTGCCGGTAGCCCGCCGAAGCCTCTCCTGGAGCGCTCGTCTCTGTCGCAGCATATTCTTCCAGTACTCCAGGCGCTGGTCCACGATGCTCTTTGTCGAAGACGCACTTCTTTGAGAGACGGAGACGGGCTCCGAAGCTGAGTCTGAGTCTTGAAAGTGCCCCAGTTCCAGGTGGTGATTGAATATACCGTCAAGGATGCCACTGGCCAGGCGTCCGGGATCCGATGACGATGACCCACCATCGATCAGCAGATTCTGGCAAGAATCTGTGCAGTTTGTTGGAAATGTGCTCATTGTTCTGATGATTTCTGTTTTATGTTTGAGTTATGATTCTGGGTTGACTGACAGGGTCAAGGGCAAGCCCTTGCCAGACAGAAATCTTCGTACAGGCACAAGTTCTACAGTTTACACAGTCAAAGTTTCAGCTCCTGGTTAACAAAGCTGTCAGACCAAGCAGCCTGACAGTGATTTTTGCCACTTGTTTTCGGGTTTCTTCACACCCCACAGCACACACATTAAGCGCCGGGAAAGCGCGTCTTACGGCTGCGCCGGGGCAATATTTCACGCCCCGACTGGAGCTTGGCTGGTGCTGTCGCTGATGTATTTTCTGTTATAAATATCCAGAGGCCAAGGACTCACTTAGTCGGCCAAATGATGTGGCATTATTCAAGTTATTAACTTGAACTTAGACAGACCATATACAGGCCGTATACGCACCAGTATTTTGGGAGCAATAAGTGAGCTCTCTGCCATTTCTCAGAGGGTGGGGGAGCTGTCAACGCGCATTGCGTTGTTTTCTTAGCGCGTTTAGGCATTTTAGACGAAATTAAATTTTGGAAATATTTTCCTGCTTACACAAAAGTTGCTCTGGGGAATTATGTGCCCGACTCGGCTGCGGTTGTTAGAAGAAAAGTTTATAAAATTAATTTGCCTGTGGCTGACTCCCAAAAGCAGAGAAACGCCAACAGAAAATATACCTTTAATTCAATTACAGAGTTTTAATAATGTATAAGCTATGCTGGTCGGAAATTGTCAAAGGACAATCACTGTTTGGCTTACGAAGCAAATATTTTATTGGGGAGGGCAGTAAAGAACCAGGTCTTGCGGTCAGGATCCGTCAGAAGATCAAAACAAAAAGTCAGCCGAGCACAAGGCTTGCCAATCCATAAAATAAATGAGAAAACTCCAAAGGGGACTCTGAAGCAACTCCAAGTGGGATTACTCTGGAATTGGGGCAAACATTTTTTAAAAGTTAGCAAGTGTCCAAATATTTATAGCAAGTGTTCCTCCCGCCCATCAAAAGTTTTGCCGAAAAATTACATAATTTAACCTGGGAAAGTACCGAGCGCCGAAAACAATCCATCACGCAGACACCAACCCATCCATCTGGCTTCGTCGTATTGATTTGAAAATCAACTTAAATTTGCCTATGCCCAAGCTTTCCGGACAAGACTTGACATGGATCCAGTCAGCCAAATATTACAGCTCACTCAGCCAGATTGTCATTGACGAGGAAGCCCGTGGTGAATGAATGATTATTTCTTTGCTGGCACTTGCGGAGCATATGAGTTTACTCTTACGTACGTAGGTAGCCGATACGAAAAGCCATGGCCAAGACTGTTTCCTTCTCTGTGGCTTAATGAGATGCAGGTCGCATCCCCGTTGTCACAAGCATGGAAAGAAAAGGATCCAGAGAGACACACTTATTGGGCTCGGGACTGAGTGTGGGACTTTGTCTGCGATATCTGTCTGAATTGCAGATCCCTGTCGCAGCCCTGATTAAAATAACGTTAACGTGCAGTGCGTTTTTTCCTTTTCATCTCTGAGATTCATTCATCTTTCTGTCACTGCTGACTCGGTCTCGATATGGTACGCCCATTTGTTGGCTTAATGTGATTGATTTCTCCTGTACTTTAATTATGATTCTCCCTGGAAAAGCCACGACTAATGACCTGAGGTAACTGAGCTTGTGCCAGTCTCTCTGCTGACAGGAAAATTAAAGAAGAGTCCAACAAGAGAGCAGAAAATAATTTAAGGTAATTTTGGCTTAGGACAAGTTTTGTTGGAATTTCTTCTGCCTTGTGGCGTAATTCGGCTACCTGTTTTTTTTTACCCGTGCTTGTTTGTTTGTGCGCCATAAATCATGAGCCATATATTTGTCAGGATTTTTATCTGCTGAGAGCTGGCTTGGTATGACAAGCTCAAAACCTCGAAGTTGGGCAAAATAAATTTGGCTCAGAAGAGGAATGCGAATGAGTAGAATATATATATTTCCTACCTTGGAGCTTCCTATCTTGGAGCTTTCAGCTTATTATCATATTTTCTAGGTTTTTTCCAGGACATCACTATAGTCGGATCTTATACCTTGCTGATGAATGAACAGGAAAAGCATTCAACTGCCGTCGAGCGACATTTATGATTATATTTCAGAGCCAGCTCTGGCCACGATTTTCTTTTCTTTTAACATTTTTTTGTTGGATCTTTTTGCTCGCACGAAACTTTTTACATATCTCTCACCACTATTCCCCAAAGAGATTTTCTCAGTGCTGATGTAACATTAAAGTGGAAAGTCTTTAAGGACTTGCTTGCAGAGGCAGAGGCCAGCATTGTTTGTTCTCCGCCATTCAGATTTTGTTTGCACTCGCACATAAATTAAGAACTGGCTGAAAAAATTCTTTTGGCTGATGACGGCCCCAACCCCGACGCCAGCGAAGAAGACTTTTTCTTGACGCCCTTTAAGTCCCTGGCAACGCCGCCTGCTGTCAGGTGGAGGTGGAGTCCTCGTAGGGACTCTTTCAGGAGAGTCCTCGACTCCAGCACAATTACAACGCCTGGCTGTGCTCTGCTCTACTTGTTGTTTGTTTGTCCTTATTTTTTCATTGGACTTCCACGCATCTGTAGGCTCGTCATTCGACGGTCTTCGCTGCATAATTATGTCTTTCCGTGGTGGCACAAGTAAACCTGCCTTTCAGTCGCAGAACGAAGAGTGTATTCCAGAACACCAGAACATGGAAAAAATGCTAAAATGAGAGTGTAATTATATTTGCTTTTCAAGTGGGAAAATGTGAAAGTATTTTTAGAGCTCATCGTCCAAGAATGTCATCCAGCATCCAGCCCTCCTCATCCATTCTCAAAAACAGCTCGTGTAGAAACTGTTTTGGTATTTCTGGTTGGGCACTTATTTTGAAAGGCATTTCTCGTTTCATTAAACATATAATTGTTAGATCTGATGCCTAGGCAACCCGAATGGGCGAGGACTCTGGCAGACTGGCAAAAATTTGTAGGCCTCTCTTTTGCAAACTTCAATAAAGGCTAGGCCGCAAGCATTTTTAATATTAGCTTTAGTGCCCCTCCCTTAGTTCTGGGTGCTGGGGGCGCTTGACTTTTGTCTCGCCAATCATTAAACACAAAATTTAATTAACTGTTAATAAAGCATCTAATGAAGACAGCACCAGAGGCAACGCGACGGCCCCCGCTTCCCAGTCGGGTGCGCCACTGTCAAGTTAATATTGCCTTTGGCTCATATTAAGTGGCGATAAGCTCTGCTGTCAACACAGAGGGAGCGCGCTCTGCCCCGCCCTGCCCCATTTTCTCCATGTGATTTCCTGTCTCTTCTGTGTGCTAGTATGTGTGGTGTCTCTGTGCACTCCTAGTCAGGGATCAGCAAGAAAACTTCAAGCATACATTATATTGGTACGAGTTCAACTCATACATTCTGTTGGGGCAGTCCAACCTGGCCATTGACTGCCACGTACCGCACATACTCGTAAAGGTCGAGGCAAACTCCTTTAATGGCATTTAATTGGGCATAAACTGGTCTCGTTTTTATAGACAATTTTCATCAATAACAAAGGCCGAAGTTCAGCCCGACATTAAGCCATCCCACACATAAAATCACTCACTTCCTTTCTGTTAACGAAATGCACGAATACACTGAAAATAATATTGGAAAATAATCGACTTGGAAAAGGGAAACCAACTTAAAGGCGAACGCGAACGTGAACGTCTTGTAAGAAAACGAATTTATTTTCCTTTTCACTTATTTCCCCATCAGTTTTCCTGATATTCGTGGCTGCCAAACTGAAATATGAATATTGAAAATCTCTTACTCTAATTTGATCAGTGCCGCTTGAGCCAGTGTAAATCGAATGGCTGCCAAGTCAGATAGAAATTCCAGTTGCTGCTTCGGGCCAGGCCAGTCCTACATACATACATGTGTAGGTACGTGCCTGGCATGGCCAAGCGCCTCCAGCTCCCCCGAGCAGTCGTAATTGTCGTGGGGCACTTTGGATGAGTGAGTTAAACGCCTGAAATGATGTTTGACCTAGCCTAGTCCAACATGTCTGGGGTCTGGTCCGCTTGTGCGTCGTCTCATAATCGGTGCCACATAAAAAGTGCCGTCAACTGGCAACTGGACTGGACATATGGATATCCTCATATATCCAGCGTAAATATATTTTACTGAGCAGCACTGAAGCATACCGACAACAAGTCAATAAAATTTATGACCATCACTTTCAATGTGTCGAAAGTTTTTCTTCTTTTCTTCTCTCCTTCTGTCGGCAGGCGCCCGCTCGGTCTCGGTCAGGGGTCCTGGTCCGTCGCTTGTTTTCTATAATTTATGCCGGGGGCTAGCAGGAAAGGGAAACTACGGTCATAAATTTCTTGCCGGGTTCTGAGGGTTTCTTGGCACCTAATCTGTGCCACTTTAAACTCGCCAGTGCTGGCCCCCAGTCCCCGCCCTGCCTCACCCAACAGGGCTCGAACTTCATCTATACTCGCATTGTTGTCTTCGGCGCTTTCCGCTTTAATTGTTTGCTCAACACCTTGGCCAGTTTCCTGGGTAGGTTGCCATTGTTGGTCCCGGTCCAGCTTACACAACATAATAAAAGCTTGTTAGCGTAATTGCTTAATTGGCCCAGACTAGGGCCATTCCAACTCTCCTTCTCCGTCACCTTCACCTCCTGCTCTAATGGAAATGTTTGCTGCTAGCTCTGGCCCGATGACCATGCGGGTTTCGCCACTTAGACCCGTACGCACACACGGGCAGTGTCTGCATCCATATCCGTATCCTCCCAGCTTTCTGGCCACACGTTTTGAATTGAGTGCGAAGATGGAGCCGTAATTACCTTCGTTCGGCTTTATCTGACGACTTGTGGGCGAATATATACTCGTTCCTACCCGTACTCTATAGAAATAGCCATCTACTGCCCACCTGTTTACCCAATAAAATTGAGGCTCTGCATATTTGAATGCTCTAGTACATCCATCCAAAAAAGGGGCATGGAGGGAGATTCTTTTTTGAGCGTTAACCAGGGCACACCTATGACAATTAAAGCACTTGTCTACGTGCTGTT